GGTGATATTTAATTCCTAAAGCTGTGGGTATATGTTTATAAATCGATCCCTTTGTCTGTTGGCGAGATTCATTGAAAGGAAATGCGATGTCGGTGCGGTATTATTCGCTCTCCAGTCTCTCGCTAGCTCCCCGCGTGCACTCACTGCACACCGCGCGGCTGACAGCTTGCAGTTTGCATTAAAACTTCGCAAAAGTCACCGACCCTTACCTCCCTCCCCCGAGCACTCGTCGAGCTAGGGTTAGTGTCGTGAATCTACTGTATGACGTCAATGGCGAAGCGAGCGCTCGGATCAGACAGCTCGGCTCGCTCGCCGGGGCAGTGGTAAGCGGTGAAGCAGTGTCCAAACTGTTACACCGTAGATTAGAGCAGCAGAGAGCAATACATCTCAATAAAGTCCACACGCAGCCGCTGAGGGTCATACATTGCCTGTACAGAGTACAGCCTGTATGGACAAATCTTAAAGGTATTGGCACAAGAAGAAATTACTCACTGGGTAGTACAGAAACGTTTTTAGAGTGCTTTATTGTTTGACGGACTTAAGCATGCTTTCTGTAATATTTTTTTATCATTAATAATTTCTTAATCATTAATATCTCTAAGAAGATAGCGACACATCAACACAAAACGGCTATTTTACTATACTGAAATGACTTTTTTATTACTTATTACTTAACATAGGTTTAACAAATACACCATCTACAATGCAGTGTGTAGAGCTTGTTACTTCTCTAATCTTCTATATAACATACTGTAAATGTTAACAGCAATATTAAATAATTCTGATGGAGGTAGAGATATAAAATTGAACAGAAAACATGTTTGAACGAGCAATTTGAAATTCCTGAGCCTATATTTTCCCTTAAAGCGTCAATTTATTTAATCTACTTACAGTCGACCTATTTTAATGCTGATCAACTTATGTGCACCTCAAGCTTCTTATTCTTTCTGGGTTTTGATTTATTCAGAATCCACTGAAACATGCTGCTTTCTGAGGACCTGTTGTCCAAGAGCAGAAATGTCCACATCTTGATCGTTTATTCTAATTGGTTTCTACAACCCAAGCCAAATAAGAATATGTCTGGAGGTGTTGTTCTTCTGCAGTCTGATGATATTTCATCAATTGTACTGATGTTATTCATCAACCATCAACAAATCTCTTCCAGTAGTCTCTCATTTGGCCAATGCTGTTTCTAAAGCACCTATTTATACAGCTGGGTATTTTACTGAAACACTTTAGGTGATGTGCCTTACTCAAGGGTACAAGAGCAGTGTCTTACCTGGGATTCGAACACTCAGCCTTCAAGTTCATTCACTTCAAGTAAACCTTCAAGTCCACTGAACTGTGCGTTGAATGGAAAATTGCTTCTGGAGTGCCCATCCAAAATAGGTTGACAAAGCCAAACAAAATAATTATAAACTAACACATGTTGTCTCTATAACGTGTAAGGTTATGGCAATGATAATTCCATGCAATTCAAGCTTCATTGTCACCTGGGGGAAATAACAATAATGTTCAAATTGGGGTGATATCATAAATGGAGTACCACTGGGATCTGTTTAGGGACCACTGCACTTCCTGATTTAAACCAATGATCTAGACTCGGGTATCATTCCAATGCTACTCCAGCTTGACAGATGATACCAAATGATCAAAGAATGTCACTCGCTGTGGAAGCTGCAAATTAAAGAGGGACAGCAGTCCCAATTTCTCAGACCGGTGATTAATCTTGGTATCAAAATGAATGAATTTACGGTGTAGCAAAAATGTACACATCCCAAATTAAGCACAAAATTGTGAACTTTGTGAAAGTCCTGTACTCTGCTATGTTTTTGCAAACCCTTGGTCTTGCCACGGGCGAGAGCAAGGGTCTGCGGAAATTGTGCTTTAAAACGACCCTTCCTGCTCACTAGTCACTGTAATGACTGATGTATTGCGATGTACGGGTGAATAAGTACAGGTTGTGCAGAAGATGTTTCACCGCACAAATGTCCAACTGCATGCAGAGCTAACAAGTAAGTTGTATTTGTTGGCAAAACCATCACAAAGCCGAGAGCAACATTTCTGTTGGATCAAAAGAGATGTGTTCACAAGCCTGCTTCTTCACAATCTTATAGGGCCGTTTCATGTTACTGGACGTTTTGTTAAATCATTCGAAATCTCAGTATATGGTGCTGCACATACCTGGAAATGTAGTCGATTTTGTGATGTAAATTGGATGTTTTACACATTACTTTCATTGTGGTTTGAAATGTACTCATCAAAGCTGATTCATTCTAACCCCAAAATATAAAAACAGCGTTGCGGTTCCTCTTTAGATCCAAAGAGCTTTTCAATACAATTCAGGACATATGACATTTAATGTAGACAAGAACATACTGTACAGTAAGTAGCAAAAATAAGAACGACAAACACAAAATGAAACAGTGATCTTACACAGCTCCTTGTGAAGAAGACATAGGAGTTTATGGGAAGTAAATTAAACACAGAGAGAAACAATATGTAGTTTAAAATACTGAAGTGAAATCAAGGGATGTTATGTTCAATTTGCACAGTGCACTGATGAGGCCTAATTTAGAAGACTGTGGAAAATTTGGGTTTAAAAAGGATATTGCAGCCCTAGAACACCCTACACTGCCAGGCTAAAAGACCTAATCTTGAACAGAGAAGACTAGGAGGGGAACTGACTCACGTATTCAAAAAAGTCAATCATATCCTGGCCTTTCTTCAGAATCAGCAGTTAATAAAGTAGGATTTTAGATTAAGATTTGGTCATACACAGACACACAAAGGGAGAGAGGAACAGGTCATTGCAAAAGAAATACTGCAACCATTAAGCAGCGGAAATGGGTGCCACAGTGATGCAGTGTTCAGCATTGCAGCCTTGCAGTCCCCAAGGGCTGGGTGTTATTCCTGGGTTACTTTCTGTGTGGAGTTTGCATGTTCTCCACAGGTTTGTGTTGGTTTATTTTTGGTGCTGTGGTTCCCTCCCACAGTCCAAAGACATGCTGCTAGGTTAGTTTGATCAGGAACAACTGGCCCCGGTGTGGCTGTGTGTTCCCTGCGACCTCATGAGTTCAGTGCTTCCTGGAATAGGCTCGGGGCCACCGTGACCCTGAACTGGATAAGAGATTATTGGAAGTGCGCTGGAGATGTGAAATAGGCTGAATTATTGTTGTCGACTGTACATCTCAACCAGCCAGCACACGGCGTTCGCGCTGTTTTAGTCTAATGTCGGTTAATTTAATGAAATTCATTTCTGGATGAAGTCTTTCATCCGGAAAAAAAAAAAACTATTCGGCTGTTGTTATGTTGCTACGGAGCTGTGATTCCCAGAATATAAAGGCAGTAAAATAGAAGAACACAATGATGTAGTTTTCTTTGCCTGGTGACGTTGTGTGTTAGCGGTGGTCGTGCAGTGTTATTTACCAAGAGGAGAATAGGGGCTGATTTGTTTGAAAGGGGCCCGGTTGTGTGAATGTGTATTCTCCGAGTTGCGGGAGCAAACACGATCGGCCAGGGTGCTGCGTGTTTGCCGAGTAGAGACCATCTGCCCCGGGTCTCTGGAAGGGAGGGCTCTCGTTTACAAAATATGCTAATAGGGAAAATCACTGGCTTATTTCTTTGTGTTCAGACTCTGCCCCACTGTGGATTAATTCACATTCCCGATTATTACACATTTCATTACGCCTATTAAAAAAGAATTTAAGCTTAAAAGCCTGAAAAGTTGACGTATTGGTTGGCATGCTAAATAGAAAGGAGAGAAAAAAAAAGACAATAATTTGTGTTTAAATTGGATGAAATGACAGAAGAGCCACAACCACAATTTTTATAAATCCTGAAAACGTGTAACGGGTATTTCAGTTTCAATTATTCATATTCACGACGCATATCAAATACAGGGGACAGTTTTTAGGACATCTGAGATTTAAAACTGTGTTACGGAGCACTAAAATGCTACACGACTTAAATCCGTCTTCATTGAACTAAATGATACAACCTAAAAAGGTATACTAAATAGGTTTTCCGCGATCAATTAGAGGCAAAACAAAAAAATGTTTGGTCAACAGAAGTCTATAATAGGAATCATATTACGTGACCATAAAAATCCAATTGTATTTCATGTTATTTTAAATAAATTACACAAACCGTTCGCAAACGTCGTTTTATTTGACTTGTTTTCTGAGTGCCCGGGCTTTTGAGGTTGAATGAAGTAAAGGAGTTTCTGTTTTAGTTCATCGTGCAACAACAAAAGAAAAGTTCATCCACAAATTTGATACAATTAATGTTTTAGCTTAGTGTACGCGTTTTTCTTTTGTGTCAAGAAGTAGCTAGTATAAAAACTTTTAGTTGGAGGGTTAGTAAAGAATACTTCATCTGTGTTTTTTTTAAACATTAACCATGAATTAACTGTTAGCAAATGTAACAGAATGCTTAGTATAATTTAAGGACGACTCCTGATATGAATATTAATTCATTTAATTGAGTTATAACCGAGTGTTTTCTATGAGGCAGTTGTCAGCTTCAAAGTAAGCCTATTGACCTGGGATATTGATCGCTGGATAAATTTAGACACCTTCAGCCGTTTCTTTTTTTTAACATATTACTGATAGACCACAGAAAAAGGAACGCTTAACGGAAATTCGCACGTACAGTGTTTTAAATGTCGGGGGTAGAAAAAGCTCACGGTGAATTGCTTGTGGAGAAATGTCACTAGATATATAATTTATTTCAAAATAAACAACCCTAAATATTGCCAGTATAACTCATAACAAGAGACAATGGTCTGTAAACTATTTAAGCTCTGAAGTTCTAAAGAGAGTTAAGGAACGAGGCACACGGGAGCGAGTTAAATTGTCAAAGCCTAAACATTTATTTAAGGGGTGACTGAATGTTGGAAACGGGGACAGTGGGAGGAACCGCTGCCGTAGCCTCCGCCCCGTTTCTCCCCGAATTTTATCGCGCCTGCTGCCTTTAACTCTCAAGGGGGCTGGGACAAGCACAGCACTCGCAGAGGGTCTAGAGGCTGAAATCTGATCCTTGCTAATTTTTTTTTTTTCTGGTGCCTTCAGCCCCGGGCTGCCAGTGCAGGTCTGCGAGCCAAGCTTTCACACACACTCGTGTCCGCGCCAGTAACAGCGCTCACACTTTTTCAAGCGGAGCAAAGCAGGCGGGCAATGAACAGCCTCCTGTCCGGAGCGCTCTGCCGGTGGAAGCTATCTCCCGTCTCACAGTCGGCGCACGGCTCAGCGGCGCCCCAGACACTAGCCATTCGTTTACAGGAGAAAGAGAAAACGTGGGCATAGAGACAGCGGCGAACGAACTACGTGGTTTTAAGGGATTGTTGAATTTGGAACCTTCTTTGCCACCGCCAGAAGAAGAAACTCTTTCTGGATATTGTGTGTGTGTGTGTGTTTTTTTTTCCCGCTGCTTGTGATTCTCCAGTGGGGGTTTGTGCGAAAGGATTTTTACAGCTACTATTACTATTACTGTATAAGAGCACGTTTGTGACTGACACCGATTTCTTGGTCAGAGTCAGTACAGTTTGACAAGAATTGTGACCATTGGAAACTCATCCAGCGAAGACTTCTGTCAGTCTCCTGCGGGTTAGTAGTACTTTCATTATTATTAAGAATCGTTTTATCTTACCCATACAGACTAGGAATGGCGTGTCGTTTAGGTTGAGACAATTAAAATAATTGCATATTTTCCACTGTAATTTCTCGATTTTCTCACGATTCTTCCGTGTTTCTACTATTCCTCAATTTGAGCTGCTGTTTCTCGTCCAGTCGCACGGTTTGGTATTGTACAGTAAAATGAACGAAACGGGAGGCCACTTTCAGTTGTTAGTCACTTAAAAGGATTGTGTTTTGCTGTACACGGTAGCCGGTTTCTATAGCCGATGTTTGGCACAGATCTCGGTAAACTTTGGCATCTGTCGAAAGGGTCGTTACTCGAGATTTTGCGTTTACTACCTTCAGGACAGTAGAAACCTAGTATGAGTTAAATTCATACTGAAGTCTTTTCATGGTATAATTGCGGACCTTTGAAAATGTTCTCCCATTCCAATAAAAGCCCAGACGGTATTTTTATGTGTTCTGTCAGTTAAAGACGCGAACGAGGCACAGAGTAAACTGAGGTCTGTCCTATTGACACTGCCACCACAACTCGGTAGCTACTGGTTCATTGCTCTTGAAATCACAGGAAGAACACAGGTTGTAGCCTCGGGTTTTTATTGATTTTACTGTCTTTGGGTTTGTGTGGTTCATGAACGCAGTGTTTAAACGCAGTCTGCCTTTGCAGGATGACATGGAAAACTGTCGCAGCTCCCAAAGACCGACTGTAAACGACCTATCTCTTCCTTTGCATTCAAATGTCACACTTTAGCAAACTTGTATTACTTCATTGTATTGGTCCCTATGGAAAATGTGCTTTTCAGGCAGGTGAAAGACACACCACGATACGCACTACATTCAACACAACACGAGCCCAGTAGCAATTGCGAGACATGTTTCTATATTCTCACCAACACGCGTGGAAGGTGAGCAGGTCTGGCGATGTTCATTTCGAGTGCTCTCGCTGGGACCCTAGTGTGCGCGCCCTTTCTGCTCGGTCTTGTTTTTATTCCGTGTAGCATAAAAAGCCAAGCTTTATGCAAAACGGCAGGTCTTGGCCGCGCTACAGTAAACTCGGGCAGGGGAAGGGTCAGTACTTACAAGTGGGCGCACAGCTTGTCCTCTTCAACACGCATTACACAGGTCTACTAGGAGTAGAGACCCGACGGGGTTTTTTTTTTTCTGAGCGGATTTCAGAACATATATTTTCACCGCATAAAGGATGTTGGTGAGATGAAGTTATGAAGCCAGGTATTTTAAGAATGCGTATCTCTTAACGTCAGCCATTAAAACAGCAAACCAGCGTTCTCACGGTAGAAAAGAAGAAATAAATGAGAGAAGCAGGCGGCAAGAAATTCTAGGTGGACGCCGCAGGGCCCGAGAGAAGATTTGTAAGGAGTGTCACGAAACAATAGCGCAACTAGAGCGTTGGTTTCGTTCAGTCTTAGAAGTCTGAAGCGCATGAAAGCCTGTGTGTGATTCTTTTTGTTTCAAGGCGCAATGATATATTTCTCTCTCTATAGCCTGTATTGTATTTTTCCCTGTGCGCACATATAAGCATATGTATTTAATATACCCGTATTTGAAACGTCGTTATAAAACGTAGTAAAACAGAACACTAATAAAATACATTTTTCTCACACAGCTTTAACAGACTACTCACCTCGTTTTGCAAGTAAACTAAGGTGTCATGACAGATTAGTCATTAAAATTCAAGTTAGTTTGTAATTAAACCTCAGGTATTTACTTCACTAAACGACACTTCTTGCACAACATCCCAGAATTAAGCCTATTTTGAGGATACATTAGACCACAAGTCCTTCTACACGTGTAACGAATTCATGCTCCGCGTTTTGGTCTTTTGAGTGTGGCGTATTTGGCTTTGGGACTGACAAGGTTATTCTAATGCGTGGAGTGGCAGTACCTCTAAAGTCATAGGCGAGCAATTGGTTTCTTCATAGGCAAGTTTACTCTACCATTGAAGGACGTTGGGGGTAGTAGTCAAGGGAAACGCGTTAGCGATAATATATGTACTATATATATATATCAGATCGGCACAAGTCAGATTGAAAAAATGCGGACTGAGAAGACGTCTTCATCAAAAACGCGCTAAGAATCCATTGCCTTTAACATCACAGCAGACGAACTTGGCTTGTAATTTATCATGTAGACTTCGGGAAACCAGATACAGGCAATAGCCTAAGTACTAAGGGTGGTGAGGCGCTGGGCAAGTATTTGGCAAAGAGAAAACGTAAGATAAACAGAACCTAACACTGAAACTGATGTAGGTCGTCTTCTGAAGCTGCCTGCTGTTCTCCCACCCCAATTACAGATGAAGATGGGTTGAAGCATTAGTATGCTCTTACAGATTTGCTCTGCCCACATGATTTTTGCATTTTCAGGTCAGGATTTGTTAACATACTATTTTTTAAAAGGTGCATTTGGATCTAAGAATAGAGAAGTTACTGTGTTGTGGTACATTTAAACATTACCGTTATTTGGGCACTCAGTGAAACTCTGTATCAGCTCACCGCTGTGATTGATGCTTTATGAGAACACCCAGGTTAAATATCTTGTGAGTCATTTATTTTTGGGGATCGCTTTAATTTTTATCTCACCCTCGCCTTTTTGTGCGAAATGGCGAAGATTTATTTTAAATATATCCGAAAATTATCATCTTTAAAAAAATCTGGTATTTTTTGCCTATTAATATGAATCATGTAATGTATATCGTTTTACTTTTCCTATGTTTATATATTAATGGATGTATTATATATTGCAAACATTTCTGGCATACCTATGTGCCAGCAGTAATTAATTGCATTTCAGGTTTGCAACGCATTTCTACATTTTTTAAAAGGTAAATAAGTTCATTTTAATTAAATCCCAGTGGTGGAACAGCCACTTTGTTTTTTAATCCTTCTGAAAAGGTCTTAGTGTGGGTACAATTGAAATAATGATTATTGTGTTGTATTGTTTGTTTAAGCCCTTCAGAATAGTGTGTATCAGAGATGAAAGAAAGTGGAAATGAGAAAAAAAAATCTGTTTCTTCAGCACGGCACTCCAGATACAGTGTTACAAGTCGAAACGGAGGTACATTTAAACTGGCTGTTTTCAATTAAAGTTTCTCTCAGCAGCAGCTACCACGACACAACAGAGTTCCTCCAGAAGAACACAGACTGCTAAAGCTTAACTGGTTTTAATGGGCAGCTTGGCGTTAGTGTTTCAGATCAGAATAACCACCACCAGTTCAGAGCCCTTCAGCTGCCACCCATTAAAATAAACAGGGGCAACACACATTTTCCAGATTGGAATGAAATTGAATAGACGGCAGGGCTAATGTTTAAGCTGTGAACATCTTGAACTCATGAACTGGGAGACGAGACACTTTCATATGTTTAATGATAGCCTGTCTTAGACCACCCTTTATGTGCTTCTCAGAATTTTGTTGCATTTGAGAAATGTTTTTAAAATTATACCGCAAAGCTCAAAGATGAGATCATGGATCTTCGTACTTTATTGATGGCTACTGTGATCTGGCCAACATGCCATCGATCCCTCAAGAGCTGGTTTGTAGTGTCCTGAACTGGAAAATCCTTTTCTAATTCAATTTTGGGTTTTCCCTATCAGATCAAATCTGGTTGGAAGATGATATAAATAAACCAGAGGGATAAGAGCTAAGCAGAAGAAAGTCTGTATTGGCACAAGATATACATCATGCCGTCATTATTGAACTTATTGGAAACATCACCCTACTTGGTAACACTCAAATGTATTACCACTGCCCGTTCTGGCCAAATGCACAGATAAAAAGTTATGAACGAATTGATCAATAAAAATCTGAGGACTGATTTTCTGCAGAATGCTGAATCCATCTCAGAAAGGATCTCTTGTTGTACTCTGCAAGTAAAAACTAATTATCCAGGATGGAATACCTCAGAGCTGTCCAGTCACACTCCCTGTGCTTTCTTTGTGTCTCTGTAGAAATGCAGAGCACATCGGCCAAGTCCAAATGCCTCACTAAAGTGCACTGGAGTTGTGTCTGTATGAATGTCATTCACAAGCATTGTCTTGTTGCCAGTTTTAACACGCAGGTTTACTCAGTTTGCTGGCAGTCAGTAAATGCAGAAATTGGGGAATCGGGGGAATGCACATTTAGCCCATTCTAATCTAAATATTGCCTTTAAAGACATAGACAATAACATGCGCACCTCCTCTTCTGTGTAGGCATTCATTTTCATGACACTGGCCTTAATTGAGACTGAGGTGTACTCCATGTGTTTTTACAAGTTTCTTATCATTATCCTCTTTGTTTTTTACAGAGTAATAATCAAGTCATTTCTAAAAGTGCTTCCTGTTGGAGTCCCAGTTTTACAAGACTTTCCCAGGTGTTGCTTAGTAGTCTTTTTCTGTTTCCCCCCATTTTTATTTCAAAGTACAGGAAGGACTAATAAAAACCCAATATGATCTGGGCTCTCATTCAGTCTTCCTATTGCAAAATGGCAGGTGTTGTAATACACCAGACATCCCTCTTTGAAATTAGTTATTGTAGGGACAAGGCAAAGTGAAAAAATCTATATTTGTTTTAATATAAGGGGAAATGAACACTTTGGAGTCCTCATACAGAAGCCTTGTAAGGTAAGGGAGGAACCGAGGCTGTTGTGCCAGTGTTTTACTGTGCTTTTCAAGTCGCTCTGGTGGAAACAAAGCTCTGGGCAGAGAGTCCAGCGCTTGGCAGTGTGTTCTCTCCCTGTGTTGCAGCCTCCTCTGTGAGCTGCTCCCTGAACTCCGGTTAATCTGTAGGGATCTCGCGTTCTCTCTGAAGTGCATCCCTGCAAACAAAAGCCCCTGCAGGTTCTTGACCTGACTGGCTGGAGGCGACCCCACTAGGGGGCTGATGGGAGGACAAAGATCGTCCTCAGTGCCACAGCGCATGGCTCCAGGAAAGACAGATGGTTCTTATCGAGCCCTTCCAGGGAAGACAAATGGTCCTACTGGCTGTGTTTGACACTGGGACTTGGGGTTTCTGTGATTCAAAGCTTGTTACCCATTTTGCAGTATGTGTGGCTAATCTTTGTCCTGTTTTTGTTTTGGGAGGGGGTGGTGATACTGCTAGCAGGACTAGTTGTAATAGGAGGGCCTTTTGAGGTCAGTTACTGAGTGTATATGCAGTGCTTGGGAAAACTTCTTTTACATTGGTGAAAGAAGTAGGTGAACTGCTGAAAAACAAAACAATAAGCATTGCATGTTAAAAACAATATTCAAAGGCCCTTTTAAAATAAGTGCTATGTGATTCTTCCACACTAGTGCTTTAGGAACTCTGTACAGTCAGTGCATTTTCTTTAAAAAAATATGCTAGTTAGTTCTAGACTGGGGATATCTGGCTCTTGGAGAACTGTGTGAGCCATTAAAACAAGCTGAAACATTTACTATAACAAATATGCTGCAAGAAATTAAACGATCATGGAGGACTTCAGAACACAAATATCGAATTGCAGAGTGGAATGAAGAATGATTGATTTTCTTTCCGTAATTTAATTGCTCGTTCTGGTTTGAAATGCCCATTTATTGGCATAAACTGGCCGTCATTTGTTTTGTTTTTATCTTGTGCATCTTGCTCTGTTCACATTAAGATGTTATATCCTAGACATGTTGTAATTTAGAGAGTGGTTTACGACATACCAAGATATGGCTTAGCGGATTCAGACAGATATCTAAACGTGTGTGCTTGGAGAAGAGCGTTATCTTTGTCCTGAGCTTTTGCTTGTTAAAATAAATGTGTTGTCTGTCGAAGAACATTGTCTGTAATTACACTCAGATCAACTAAAGATTATCAGGCAAGTAAAATACTACCCAGATATAACAGGCTGATATCCACATCCATCTACTTTTTTATCCCATTGATCAAATCCGGGGTCGCAGGGCAGCGGGAGCTTTTCCCAGCCAGCCCCGGGTGCAAGGCAGGATAGACCCTGGAGGGGCACACAGGCACACACTCACACCAGGGCCAGTTTTCCAAGAAACTGGCCCTTAAGGCCTGCCCACCTGTCTTTAGCCTATGGAGTGCTGTCTGTGTGGAGTCTGCATGTTCTCCTTTAGCCTTTGAGAATACACCTTTAAAGGCGCTATACAAAATAAAGTTTCTTATTATTTATTATGGGAGGAAACAGGAGCACACAGGGGAAACCCACACAGGCTAGGGGAGAACATGCAGACTCCGCACAGACAGCACCCCAGCAACTGAACCCAAGGCCCCAGTGTGGCGCGAAAGCAATGCTCAGCCCTGCGTCACTGTGCCAGGCTTGCATTGCCACAGCCAGCTGTGAGGGGCAGCAATGCTTGATATACGCATGCTTTATTAAAACTTGATTGTCCTTCTAGTTTTCAAAGAGCCTTTCACCACTTAATCAAAGGTTTCAGCTATTGTCTTCAGCAGTTAAGAGAGCCAACATACAGCGTAAGCAAGTTTTTATAATACAAGAGGACATTATTCCAGAGCAGAATTAGACTCTGTTTCTGTAGTCTGTCTGATATAGCCTTGAGAGAGAATTTCTGGAGTTTTATCTGTTTCAGTGCAGTAGAGCATTTCCAATGCTGATGCCAGTGTTATCAGAAGGTTAGGTGCTCTAAACATGGGCCTTCTTTGAGATTAGATAAGACTGGCCTAAAAAAACGGTATCATCTCGCCAGTTTGAATTAAATTGATTTGCGAGCCCCGGAGAAAAGATTTGCTCAAGGTTTCTCTATCAAATTCACAGACCCTTGAGCTCTTATGCAGTTGAATAAATAAACCTTGTTTTAGAATCTGGGCTTCTTTTCACCCAAAGCAGGAGGCTATGAACCAGCTTTTGTTCTAGTGGCGTTAAAGAACTTTTGTCAACATGATATTAAGGTACCAACCTTAATTTTTTTCTACAGTAATGAAATGAGAAGCACACAGAAGCACATTTAAGAACACAAATTCCTGAGCTTAAAGAAGAGAGAATCTTTGTACCTTTCTTCATGTGTTGATGAAGCTGAAGTTTTTTTCAGGAGCAACGAGGGAACAAATATACCAGAACACTCATGACAGGCATTTTGTCCATGTGTATGTGGAATTGGCTCATTTCATTTGACACCAAAGCTACCCTGAGGCCACACTTTCCCAAATCTGTCTGCTTCAGGGCCACAGAGCTTGGCTTGTTGATTTTACCCATCAGGCCGCGTTCGCTTAGGGTAGATCATACTGTGGAATGTTAAGATGGGTCTGATACTCCTGCACCTCAAGTTGTCATTCTTGTTTTCCAAAAGAATTTGTCCATGTTCAATCCCAGGATGTTGTGCATCTCAATCCTGACGTCCAATCAGCTGCCACTGTTCTGAGTTTTACGTAAGAGGAAACTGGTGCCATGCTATTTTTGCTAGGTTAATTCTGGGATGAATGCTAATCAAGATATTTGGTGCAACACCAATGAAAACATTACATAATATTATTAACCGAGAACGCGATCAAAGCAAAGCCAATGCGTGCCCCCAGGACATGATTTACACACACATTCTTTGCTCATCTCTCAATCTCTCTATACGTACTATTAAGATTCACATTAGCAAGCTGACCCAGGATGTGTTTCGGCCCCAGTGTGCGGAACCATGATCGCTCTTTTCGCCCCCTCTCTTCTCCAGCTCCCTGGCGCTGCCGGCGCCCCATCCCCCCTCCTGCGCCACCGCCGAGCGAGGCCGCCCGGGCACAGGGGCGGGAGGGTGCTGGGCTCCGCGAGGAGCATGCACCCGCGGGATGCGTGAAGTCGGGTGGGGCCGCAGCAGTCGACGTCTCTACGCCCCTTCCAGAGGAATGATTGCCCTGTGGTGCGCCCTCTGCTCCTGCTTCGTCATCGTCCACGGCGTGCCCGCTGCCCGGCTGCCCACCGCCCAGCCTGTGGAGAAGGCGACGGTCAAGCCCACCGGTAAGAGAAAACGACACCCGTGGGGGGGAGCCATGAAAATATCAGAACATGCATCCACGGCACATTAAATGAGCGCAGGGTCAGCCATTGTAAGGCGCCCCAGGAGCAGTTGGGGTTAAGGGCCTTGCTCGGGGGCCCAACGGAGTGGGATTCCTCTGCCTGCTGCAGGATTTGAACCAGCAACCTTCCAGCCACAGGCGGAGATCCTGAGCCACTGAGCCACAGAGCCACCGCTCTGCCCAACTGTGCCCATTTAACGCACAGTATTAGCATGATGGCCTAATAGGACCACTTCCACATTGCAAGCAGGGCTTAAAACAGTTCTGAGGGCATTTTACAGTTTCAGTGTTTGTTTTACTGCAGAGCTGAGGCGCAGCTGTAAAATTATCTTGGGTTTTGCCTCCTAAGCCTTGATGCAGTCGGGTTCTTTTATGACAGGCCCCGGTGAGCAATTGCACCACTGCATCAGCTCAGATTAAAGGGTGGGGAGAGGCTCCCTGTTATCAGATCTTCCCACAAGTTCACACTGCCAGAGCTCTCCAGCAGCTTGTTTAGAAATGACTGAAACACAATACTCGAGGCTCTTGATTAAAAATCAGAAACTGGCTCGATCCTAGCCTGCCTTTCCTCTTGTCCAAAAACCCTTGGTTCATTAGTTGTTCTTTCTGTGTTTGAAACTTCAGTGTAGGCAGTTTTTACAAAAAAATGTTTTGGGCAGTTTTGTAGACTGTTCACTAACAGATATCATTTTAAGCCAGCCAGTCTGTTGGCGGGCTTAGCTTTGCTTTCGTAAGACAGAGCTGTCATCCAATCCATGCTTGGCTCTGCCCCAGAGTTAAACTTTCTGTTTTAAAAACAAGCTTACCTTGTGCGACCACGGCGTTTGAAAAGAATAAAAATGACAATTAACAGAAAAGGCTTTGGAACGATGTCACATATTGTGCCTTTCTCTACTGGGAGATGCTGTGCTGAAAGCAGTGCGAGATTGCTTTAGTGTTTTTCTCTGATCGTTATCTCATGAGATAAGTCAAGCACTGCCAGTTTGGAGGTGTCACTGTAACTCCTTTTATAAGCTATCAACAGAGTATGCAGTACACTGTAGGTGATCTGCATTACCCATAAGCCAGCTCTCTCTTTCCTTAATGTTTCCAATGGGCATCTGATGCACACAGATGGAATATCAGTGGGAATAAAATGCCAATCGTTTATCTGCAGATGGCAAATTTCGTTCCTCTTTCCAGCATCAGGAATTTATCAACGGCCGCATGCAGCTCCCAGCAAATATGCAACATTTTATTCAATTTAAGATTTCAAACTTATTTCAGATGTCTACACTGAAGCAAAGTGTGGGTGAAACAACTTAGGCAATCCACATTTTCCCAAAAGATCCCATTATTCCTTACGTGTGACCGGAAGAGTGTGATGGATAGACCCGAGCCTGCCTTCTCCCCAGAGTGCAGCTGGTTTCTGAAGTTTTCGGTTTTGGCTGTCTTGAGAAAAGCAATATTTGACTTGCTGTTGCTGAAGCAGAACTGTTCTTTCAAAACTCATATCATTTAGTCCACAGTGGTGCTGGGCGCTGTGCACTCCCTGGAAGAACTGACAGTCAAGTGCACAAACTTGACAAACACCAGCTTCCAGTTGTTCCTCTCTGTCTCTCGTGTTGTTTGCCGAGTGGGTGAGAAATATTTCCAAATACCAATTCTTGCCATATCTAAACAAGCAGACACACACTGTGATCGGATTTGCTCTCTTTTGCAAGCTACTCCAGGAAATGGACAAAATAAAAAAAAGGGATGATCCTTAATGTATACTGTATTTTACGAAATTTTACAAAAATAACTCTCTCATTGTACAGCTCGGTGACCGCTTTTAAAACTTTGCTAGGTGAATACAGAAGAAAGCATGAAATGAGCAAGGCATATATTTTTAATTAAGCCTAGTTTGTATATACTGAGTGGTTAAATTGCACGAAACCCATAGCATATGTTGCATTTTTAATGCTTCTTTGTATATATACATACATTAAGCACAAACACACTTATGTTTTATGTAATGTAATGTTTTATTATGAAAAAATAATTCCCATAATTAAAATGCAAGTCTTTTAAAGTACTGTATTTAATTTGAGTATATCAGTTGCAACAAATGTACCTTCTAAAGCTCTAGGGCTAAACACCCTTAGAGGGTGTGTGTGAGTGTGTGAGTTTGTGTGTGGTTCAAAAGCTAAAGGAATCCCCTTTAACCTGCTTCTTCAATTAACACCATAAATCACACCAGGGGTTGTTTTTGTCATTAAAAGAACGGTAATAAAACACCCTATTCTGAATGTAATTCACTAGGGCTCATTTTTCACAGCTTAAATGAGCTGATTTATGGGCGACACCTCAGCACATCTCACGCCGCCGCCGCTAAAGAGTTTGTGCCGAATTGAAAAGGTGGGCGGGGCTCTGGCTCCTCCGCCCCCTTCCTGCGCCAGCTTCCAGACGCGTCCTACCCGCGCGCAGGACAAGGCACATTTCTGAGCGTCCTCGACTCACAGCCGGTCTCTGTATGAAGCAAACAAATCAAAAAGGGAATCATGAAGTGAAAGGCATGTATTGCAATTTTGACTCTGTATTAAAAAGCATTGGTCAGTTAGCTGAAAGTTTGAGGGGTTCAAATTCATCTGTGACAGGCGGGGTTTCATCTAGTCACATTGTTAAGAAATCCAAAGTTATATATAAAGTGCATTTCTTAAGCAGGATAAGCGTTTTTTTTAATATATATTTCACAGACTAAAGTCCATTTCCATGACTGCAGAGGTGAAATTAATTTAATAAAATCAATAACTTCGCCTTATATGTTGGGTCAGTGCCAACATGAAAAATCATTAGGACATATTCGTTGGATACATGCAAAACAGGACAATTTAAAAAAAATGTATTAATTGCTGTTGTTTTACATTTTCTCCGCTTCTTCTAACTCCTCTCATCCAGTTTTCCAAAAGAGCATTTCAGGAAAAAAACATTGCTTCGGTGTTTTCTGTAGTGAATTGTTTCTTTGTTACATAAAGCACTACTCTATTTTTAAACTTTTACAAGTATTTTCAGAAGAATACGGGAGGTGATTAGGATAAAGAACCTTTGAAAATCACCTCGTCAATGTCTGTTTAGCAGTACACGCACCTTTGATGATTACTGTCAAAGACAGAAGTTAAAGTGATATTTGTATTTGTTAGGAGTGGGGGTCTCATCAATCCCTATCAAGTTCAACTCTTGCATTTTTAACACTTCATCTGACATAACTTTATTAATTATCCAAACCAGCAACCTGCTATTTCTTTTACTCGGATACCAGTATGAGTAAAAGCGTTTGAGTCTCACAATAAAAATAAAACTGTGAACAGTGGAATCAGTAATAGCTGCTGGAAAAACTGTTTGGGTGTCAAATTTTACAAATAAAATTAATTTAGTAATACAAACCGATGGTATAAATTGACCAAACACTGCTAACTATATCAACTTTTTCTTTAGTAAAAGTAAAAGAACCTTCCAGTTGACATAGTTTGGGGTTTATTGCCCCAAAGCACCTGAAACAAGATATCCTCTAAACTGATAAGCCCATTGGAGATTTGTACAGGGCAACTGGCAAATAGGCTCCATAAATATTGTTCCTGTATAATTCCATAGGGAAAGCCGCAGAATGTCTAATTTCCCTGTCTCTCACCAGAACCAGTCTTCAATTACTCTAGCACTGATTATGAAAATTAGGAAGACTGCATAACAATATTATCTACCTCTTGTCATTTGTTTTTTAGAAAACTTGAAATATGTATTTTTTTACATAAACCAATTGAGTGACATCATTTATATAAGAATGTTTCTTTTTGCCTAAAATTGAACGGCTGTATCAGTCGAGATACTGCCTTCTTGTTTGGAATATCTCGTTTCATCTCTCGATTCTGTCAAGCTGAAGCGCACAGAGGATCTGACCATGTATGATGACATATACGCATATCATATATTACTGGACAATGACTGCCGGTAGGGTAGAACCAGGCAAGACTGTGGTCAGTGCCCTGTACTCTTCCACTCTCTAATCGAAGCTCCCATGAAGGAGAAGGCCTGTTGGTGCAGCAGCGTGTGTGGGGACTGCCAGCACGGTCTCCCAGGAGGAGTCTGAGAGCTCTGCAGCTCTCACACAGCCCCACTGGGAGCTGCTCCGCCCCTGGCAGGGTGCAGGCAGATGGCAGCTTGTGAGCTGCAAGCAGTCCAAACAGAAAACAAGGGAGGCATCATCTGTACCAACCCCCACCCCCCCCTCCAGATCCCCTCCCCCTTCCCTGCGTTTTACTCTGGTCATTTTCAAGCCCTGCTACCAGCAGAACAGTGTAGAAAACTCAAAAGTGAATGACCTCCACGCTGAAATCTTCGCCAGCTGACTGGAGCGGATTGTTCCTGCTGGTGTTGTTGTTTGATGGGTTTTCTCCATCCTGTGGTTAGTCCGTTTGGTTCCAGCTGCCCGAGAGCTTGACCCCACCTCCCTAGCGTCCCACTCTTAATTGCTGCTAGTAATGAGCTCAGTCTGTCGGAGTAGGGAGACATGCTATACGCTCTATATACACACTCACCACTGCGTTAGTTATGTTGTCCTCAAAACCACAAACAGCCCGTTATTATTTGGCTGTACAAGGGCAGGATGGTGGCACGGCGGTTAGCACAGTGCTGGGGCCCTGGGTTCAATTTCAGACCTGGGGGTGCTGTCTGTGTGGAGTCTGCATGTCCTCTCCATGTTCATGTGGGTTTCCTCCCACAGTCCAAAGACATACTGGTAGGTGAACTGACGTCTCAGAAAACTGGGCCTGGTGTGAGGGCATGCATGTTTGGTTCACTGTGTACCCCACCTTGTCAGGATGGGCTCCAGCTCCCCTCCCGCCCCAGCTGTTATGAAGCAGACAGAGAATGGATGGGTGTGGGGATACAGATATGCTGCCTTGCACTGGTTTAAAATGGAGAGATTTACGTTATCTTTTTTGGGGGGGTAACTTAATTTTGTTAGATACCATCCTGCACCGCTGGGCCCACTCCCCCCGCTGCCCGGCTATGGGGATCTGTGAACGGGCACCAGGTGGGCCAGGGCCAGGCTGTCTGCAGGAGGAGACTCGGCTCCCCCAGTACCACCGTGAAGGCGACTTTATAAAAGACGCCATTCAGTGTGGAAACGGCGTGGCAGTGCAGAAATGTGTCGACTGCACGGGCTCACGGAGTTGCAAACCTAAATTGACCTGTTCCTGCTGCACTGCTCACTTGTCTGTTCCGTATGCTGTAACATACGTCTGTCACCGAAGTAATGTGAAAACAATCACGTTTCTGGTATTGGCTTCTAGTGCGGGATGGTGTCGGAGGCCATTGACTGCCAAGGTAGAGTATCTACCTTAAAATGTAGAAAGATTTTCTACTTTTTAACAGCTGACGAAGGCTCCACAGACATGTTTTGCTTTCTTTCTTACCACTTTCCACCTAAATACAACACCAGTGTCTTGATGTGGCTACAGTGTTATGTCTCAATGTCTGACATTACTAAACTGCACCCTTTCTGGAGTGCTGTAAAAGCTTTGGTCCAGCATTTTGTCTGGCAGGAGGTACTCGCACGCAGGGTTGCAGCAACATTTAGAGATGTTGCTGCAACATTTTGTGTCAGCTGGTGATTACAGGACAAGGATGCTACAGCCGAATCATGTCTGTTGTGCCCACAGCGAGTCAAGTCTGGAAGACTCCCCCAGTCCATTAGCTAACACCAGAGCTCAAACACACACTCTGGCAGATCATCCTGCCTCCATGAGATCTGGCCCTGCTTGAACTCAAGAACACCCGTGTATTTAGTTAAGTTACTCTTTAATTTTTCACAATTTTGTTCTTTGTTTTGCAATCAAAGAGTTGTGAAGTATGCTTGCATTCTGGCTTTTTTTTTTTATAACCCATATGATGGATTTCGACCCAGCATGTGTCTCCTTTCATACAACAGAAAAGGCAAACATGTACAGAAGCTTTAATTCTTTAAATGCCTGCCTTGCAGATTTTTAACTCCAGATCCTGCTGCCCAGCACAGAAGATTAGTAAGAATTAAATTTTGAATTGTTAGCCTTCAGTAACCAAACCTCCATATCTGAATGTTTATTTAATTGGAAATTTTCTCCTGCCAAAATAAATCTTCATCACTTTTCACATCAAGTTATTAATTTATACACAGCTCACAGTAAGCATTAAGAGGTAATCCTCACCAATCAATACCCCCCTAGTGACTTACAAGTCTTACACATCTTTGCTTCTTTAGGGTGGTCTTTTACACAGTACAGTATTTATGTTTCACTCCAAGGACTATCTGCTAGCATTTGGATGGGATTATTCCTCTTCAGTTTTCCATTCTGAACTACTGCAAGACGCGTCCATTTTTACTGGCGCGGAAAAGTGTTTTCAGATTAACAAGGAAACAAATGGCAAAGCCTTGTAAGGTGTAGCCCGAAGCATCACTCCCATAACAATGAGACGCAGGTTTCCTGTGCTCCGCAAGACAAAAAAAAAAAGGAATAGATTTGGCTGCACATGTCATCCAGCTGACAAATCATGTATTACGTTAGTGTAGTAGTATTGGCGCTACCTGATGTTCCTCATTAGTGTTAAGGGGAACAATACGGACCAGGATCAGGAGGGAAAAACAAAAGGGACAGACAGGGAGAGAGTGGGTCCGCAGCACAGAAGACTGGTATCTGAAGGATTTACACAGCCATAGCCAACTGGCACTGGGCAGAACAACATGGAAAAAGTGTGATCAAGCAAGAGACTGGCACCAAAGGAAAGCATGCCCACACACACTGATGACGATGATGAACTGAGCTTTAAAAAAATCATTGCTTTTTTCTGCTGCGTGGGGTCTGCATCTGGGAGTGAACGATGAGGGACTCAAAACAATAATAAAGATTTAAGAGTCACAACGAATTCTAAACAGGGACGGTTTCTGAAACTGCACAGGGAAGCAATGACGCCTGGGCCAACTGTACACAGTTGTTCCTTTACACAGAAGAACCCCTCTCCTGTCCCTGTTGTTTCTGGGCTTAGTTTGTTGGGGTCAAGAGGCTGCGAGGATTTATACATCTTCCTGCTGTTAATTCTTCCGTTAATATATGAAAATACGGTACGTCTCCGGTTGATGTTTCTGTGAAACGCATAGAAGATTGAAGCAGTTTATTACGGAAAAAAAAACTGGACAGTTTTCCCACAGCTGATTAATGGTTATCGGCGTCTTAACTAGAATTGTAGGTTTAATGAATAAGGTTCAGCGGGTAACTCGAGTCGAGCTAGGCTTAGCCAGAACCCCACTGGAGCAATGAACCCAGTGCATGTGAGCTGGCGGTTATTAAAAACACCTGGGAAATAAACTCCCAAAAGCGTAACAAAACGCGATAAATGGTGTGTGTGTGAGGGAAGGTTTGGTCTGGCAGCATAATAAACAATGTTTTACATACCTTTCGGAGAACTTCAGCGCCGCCGCTAGCGTTAGCCATCTTAGAAGACACGCCTCCCTCCTCATGCTAAGAATGGTAAAGAGACAAAAAAAAAAATAAGCATCGATCTCACACAGGAAGACATGCAAAATAACCTCCTTAAAGATTGCTTCCCAGCGAAAGTTCCTAAGGTAGTTTGAATTATTCCATTAAATTTAATTAGGAAATATTCGGGGTTTGATATATTCTGGGACTCTAATTAGCAGGTTCTAATTGGTACCTACTGGTGAAAATGTAACACTGAAGAAAAGGGTAATCACTTTCCTGAAATCCCACCAGCGGAAAAAAAGCAGTTTCTATTTCGCCAACGACCCCCTTCAGACCTGTACAGACTGAGTGCGCCGTGCAGCATTCTCGAATTTATCGTGCTTTTCTTTCCTTTCATAGTAGACAAGCTTAATTGCGGCATTCGTGTAAACTTTCAGATTTACCACATTTAACTCGTGCAGTTCTCCAGCTCTTGTTGGACGCACGGCGTTGAGAAAAAACAGTTTTTTCGCTTTTTCAAAAAGTCTCTTTATAAAATGTGTCACTTTTATCTACAGTAAAGTAGTTCGTTGGTTTGATGTACACCAGACCCCGACTCATAATAGGTCAGGGGAATGAGAGACAATTCCTGAAGGATAAGTCTTCTTCAGCTTTTTATTCAATCATGTGATGACAATTAAACAATTTACAATATTTTCTTAGACACATACAGGATGTTTCTTAAGGCCTTCTTCAAATGATAGCTCAAACCACTCGCTTCATTAAAGGCACAGTTACCTATGACTCACCTTGGAGCCAGGTTTGAAAACGTACAATTATGCAGCTAATTAAATAATTACATTAATTAATCATTCAGATTATTTAAGCAGGTAATTAAATAATAAGGTTACTGGGAGTTCAACTGAACTGAAACCAGAGGACACCAGTCACCCTTACTGCAGCTCCAATCTGCACTTGATTTGGGATCAGATGCTTTAAGGTAGAGCTGTAAAATGAGTTGTAGTACCTCTGCTGTAGTACTGCAGTGTCACGCAGGTAACCTGCGGGGCCCAGGTTAAAGACAGGTCACGACTGGGCACTGCCTGGGAGGGTTGAGGGCATGATGGGAGGATCTGACATGGAGCTGGTGAAGAGACATGAACCCATATGATGAGGCAGGGCTGCATTCCAGAGTCTCTGGGGCCGTTTATGTCTTCTCCTGTGGTTGTCAAGGCAGACTGAAAGCAAACACAAGCCTACAGATTTTGCATTTGTAGTCTGGGGCTCGGGGAGTAGTGATGTGTGTAGGGGGATTATCACCACAGTTTCAGTACAGCTTCTATCGGAGACACTGTTTCACACTGTGTCACCACTTTCTCTGTTTATCGCGAGCAGACAGGCCTTCCCTCAAGCAAGCGAGCAGCATCTCCAGATCCTTACCGGAGTGTTTAATAAAACCACATTCAGCGGTGTTTCCTTGGAATGAAATGTGTCCTGCGCCAACGTTAGAAAAAAAAATAAATTCGGTAAATCTAAAGTTTCAAAAGCTGCATTCTTCTGCGCCATTAAGCAAATCAAAACTTTAGCTTGACGTGAAAACAACGCTCACTGAAAAGAGCCTAACTTGGTATCCCAGAGTTCAAAAGATGACGCCAGATGTCAAAACATTTAACGCCAGCAGTGATTCATCACAGGCCCCTTAGGAGGGAAAGTCAATTTTCTTTCTGCGAGCTGATGCACCAAAATGGCGGCGCGTTGTTTGCTTTGTGAATACAGAAACAACCTTGTTTGTAAAAGACTTTGCAAATGTTTTATGATCTAACACATGCGTGTTAGAGGAGGCAGCGAGGAGAGTTGACTTTCACTGCTGCAACATAAGGATATCAGTGACTGGAGTGTGTGTGGATCGTATGCTTTTGATATCTCTGTTAGGGAGGCTCAGCAGGGTCCCCTGGCCTCCTGACCTCTGCTGTTCTGTTAAACTGTTCTGGAGTGGCTAGGTCCTGCTCAGGCGGCCTGCGCAGAGCACAGCAGGGTTGAGACCTCTTTAGCCGATTCAGGCAGCTCCACACAGGCTTGAGAAGCACACAGCAGGGATCGCTCCGCGGTCACGAAGGTCACAGGGTCTTTTATTCCTTGGGAGTTCTTTCGGTCAGATTGAGTTCGAGTAGGCCCTTGCTGCCCCACAGCTGAACTGTGGCCTCCTCCTTTCATTGCATGGTCAGAGGTGCTCTTTTGGATGGAAGAGGTACTTTTATTTTTACGAGCATGACAGTCATCTACTCATTTTGCATTATAGCTCTCTGATTTAGGCGTATTGTCCATGCGTTCAGCAGTCTTTATTTTGTTTAAATATCATGCTGCCGCATTATGGATCTGTATCAACTGGTGGCCACTGCAGGCCTGACTCTTTTATCAGACAGTATTTGACTGTCTCCCACTCGCTGACTCACAAACGCACTTGTGGGCTACAATTCAAAGACGCCCCCTGGCACATCCTGCTCACCTTTTTGATTGCTACGCATGTTTCACTCAAACATTCACTCCTGCTCCTAAAATACTGCTCATAAAATTGACGAGCTTGTTCATTTAAGAGGCGTTACTCTACATCAAGGCTCGTACAGGGATGGTTACCCATGAATTGCCCAGACAGAACTCCCAGTGTTTCACATTTCAGCAGATTAATGGGGGTGAATCTCTGTCAATGAAACCAAAAAAGGCTGTGAGGAGATTTTGTCCAGATGTCAAGAAAGGACATAGATGGTTAATCTTGATCACTACTTTGGTCCCTGCGCAGAGACTAAGACCACAAGTTACACCCCAGCCAGATCTGGACCGAGAAGATTGGAAACATATTGAAAATCGAACAAAGTAAACACTCCACCTTTCTGATACTGGCTTACACAGTACAGCTTGATAAGACAATTGATAATTGATAAGAGTATTTGAATCACTTAGTGACTATCGGCCCTATAACCACGATTGATCAAATGGCCTCCTAGTGCTCACTGCTCATGTTGCTCTGACTCAGGGGCATCTTTTAAGAACATCCGGCGTGAGGTTCATCCTGCAGGCTACTCTCAACTGTATTAATTGAAAGCAGAACAGCCTCCTCTTCTTCATAATTTGTGTATTATATTCTGCTCTTAAGCTAGGGAGACTGGCCTGTCATCCAAGACAAGCTCGTACATACGGTGCGTTTCTTCCATTGAAACTAGGCCAGTCGTCCTTGGAATGACAATTACGGCTGCCTAAATACAGTCCCAGTTGGAGGCCAGGCTGGGGAGGGGCCGGGGGGGGTTGAAAAGACTGAAGACTCTTTGGCTTTAACAAGGCACTTTGGATGTACAGTAGCTTCCGATGTTAATTAGCAGTTCAGAGCAAGGAGGGGGGAAAGGGATGTTTTGAAGCCGCAGTTATCTTTACTTTTGGGCTTTGATAACACGCGGTGCGACACACAAGAGTAAAGAAACAGCCGCAAAGCCCCCTTTCTTGATCTCTCTCACATACACCCCTCTTGCTCCTGCGCCTCCTGGGCAGTGTGAGGTTGTCAGGCTGCCCGAGATTAAAGACATTGTTCTGAGGTATTTACATCCGGCCAAGGCGCATGAAGCAAGAGATTAGGGCGCTCGCCTTAAAAGTGAGTCCAGCCCGAATGGGGATGGTATTTAGAATCTGCATAGCTGTGAAACCGAGAGAAAGAAATTTGCACTTTGTGGCGGACTGCGTTTGGGGGTCACGTGACGGCCGACCCTGCGTCCTGAGTTGGCAGCTCGGCGATGTTTCAAGTGACAGAAGAAAGTGTTTCAGAGAGCAGGGCTGCCACTGGAGCAGCCTGGCATCTGTGAGAGCCTGGCCCGGGACTCTGCTTCCTCGTCTACAGAGAACCTCATGGAGAATCCCAATCACATTTGCTGCCCCAAAGCACTTTTAAGATCTAGGTTGGATTTTGGTCCGAACCTCCCTCTGTGTGGAGTCTGCATGTTCACCTCACGTTTGCAAATGTGGCGAATGTCTATGCCTGTGTCTGCATCAGCTTTTCTACGTGCATGTCGGGAGATAGATGCATTACTCAGACCGGGCTGAAAGAATGACTTAGTACTGTTTTGTCCTTTTTCCTTCCACATACTCAAACAATCATTATGCGCAGTGATTTTTTTAATAGTTTGGGCTGTTCAAAGAAACTTCAGTTTCGAAAACAGATGGGATGATAGACTAATTACCTGAAACAGCAGCAAAACTATTAGCAGACAAATTGTTTGTAGCTGATTATTTTTACAGAAAGATACCTTTGTGTGCAGATGTTCATATTCTGAATGGAGATTAGCGCACTGTAGCAGAAACTGGCTTGATGAATGTCTGCGTGGGTCCATCTGGAACATTTCACATTTGTAAGTGTTTTACATATAAAGTAGTCGTAAAAGGTGAGTTTATTTAGTGCTTTTTGGAGTGGTATTGGGGAGAAAGCATGAGAAAATGGGGACATCACTCACATGACATAACAGGCAATTATTGTGTGTATGAAATGGTTTTTCTAATTTAATGTGAAGCATGGTAAAGGAAAAGTATTCATAATTTTGACTATCATTTTGGAAATTTATTAACTCCCCAGAATGGGCTATCTTTTTCTGTAAGTTTGTTTCGGTCCAGCCTGGTGCCTCAAAGCTCTGTCAGATCTAAGTTTGATTTTAGCATGTAAATCCCTCTGTGTGGCGTTTGCATGCTCTCCTCATGTCCATGTGGGTTTTGGTCAGGTGCTCTAGATGTGTGGTCAAGGTTGAGCTCCAGATACGTGAGCTTGGTGAATTATTGTCTCTGAAGTCTCCTGTGTGCTCCATGTGTTGAACTTTGGGAATGGCAATGGACTGCTGTATATCTGTCTGATAATGAATGGATGGGTTGCCAGTCCTATAATAATTGAGCACACTTAGATTAATGGATGGGATATTTGCTTTTCTGAGTTCTTCCTTTATGCAAGTGCTCACCATTCCTTATATATTTTATTGCATTTGTGTATATTACTGAGTATGTTTAATAGTATATCTAAAAATATATATTATAGTGTATGTATAATAGAGTTTTGTGTTATCTAATTACATTGTCTAGGTGCAAGCTGCTTTGTGTTGCTTATTGGAATAATTTTGCATGTGGGTTTCTACTGAAATTGGAGAACAGCATGTGAAGAAATGGATTAAGGCTGCATTCTAAAAAAGCAAGACAAAGATGAAACGTACATGGAACTTGTGAGTTAAATACATGCCGTCACTGTCAAGGTATTAGCCCTTGTGCAGGGCCTGAAATGTACGTTCTCTTTTGTGTGGGAAGGTGCTGTCCAGGGCCTGCCCTATTCACACTCTCATGCCAATAAAAGAGGGTATCGTGAATTAATCGTGGGTGACTTTTTAAACTCGCTAAGGGCTGAATGATTAAAAATTCCTTGGATTCTGAATCTTATCCTGAAAGGTGTAATTGCACCCTCCGGTACTTGTGCTGTATCATTGGAGCAGAATCCAGGGTTCCAACAGTGCAGCGTTTATTATGTTGTTTACC